AAGTCATAAGTCAAGTCCGGTTCGCCCCTAATTTCTTTAGGCATGTGCTGCGTTTGGATGGTTATCTTTGAAGGTTAGCACAAATGAGAGTGTGCCGATTGTAAAGTTACTGATACTCGAGGACTTAATTGGCCTTGAAAAGATCGGAGTAGCTTAGTTCCTTGCTTCTTTGATCAATTTTGATGTATCTTTTACTTGAGTCTCTCTATAGATATTTAGATACTTCGTATGATGTAAATCACTTTTCTGGCATGGAATATGTAATGACTTTGATTTCATTCATTTATTTTGGAGTTATTGGCTGATTTGTGATCCTTTTCAAAAGGCGGAACTGTGGTTACTTTTCACTCGGTAATTTTCATCCATTTAAGGATCTTGGAGCTTACCCATAGCAATTTCGTGAAGGTGATATTCACTAGATGAGTTCAAAGCTTCCCCAAGCTTATTTTCAATGTTCAACTCCTTTTTTTTGCTTAATCATGCTACTAGAGAGTTTTCATTCGCCATTAGATTTTACTTGAAGTTTAGATGGTATGTGTGTTTTTGAAAGTGATGAGTTGTATTTCTGCTCCTGTAACCCGACAATATAGATAAGGGTGATAAGCAACTTACAATAACCCAAGAATGAATGGAAAAATATACTCTTAGGTATTAATATCATTTAACTCTCAATAGATATGTTTTACTCCCTTTTTTTTTGAAATGCCATTTTTATATGACAAGGCGAGCTTTTATTTCTTTCATTCACATAATACTTGTCTGTGAAGTGGTAGCCTACTCAATCACAAAAGTGTTTGTTTGGCTGTTTGCAGGTCCCCTTGCTCCGTACATTAGAGGAGTATAGAATATTGCGGCAAGAGAAACAGGAAGAACAGTGCAAAACCGGGTATTTGGCTTTTAAAATCCTAATTACAGCTGGAATAGGCATGAATAACAATGCTTTATCACTCTTTCTGTATTATGATGACATGTACTTATGATCTAGGAACAAAAACGACTCCAAGAGCAGTTTGTTGCTGAACATGAGGCTCTCTACGGTTCATAGTCCACAAGAAAGAAGCTGGGTCAAAGCACAAGTGCTAACAGGTGCACACCAAGTCGTTGTGGACCACTCTCTGCTCAGCATGTAGTGCCCTCTACTGTTAAGGAAAGGAGAGATTGTGTCAAAGCTGCTACTGTCATTCCTTTAAACTATGTAGCTCTTTCAAAAGATGATCACATGTCTAGGGAGAACTGATGAAGGTTTTAGCTTGAAAGTGGTAGTACATCTGCATAGCATTCACTCAGAAATTTCTAGATGTATTGTTTCCATATTTTGAATATTTTTCGGAACATATGAATGCTTAAGACAGTAAAGTTGTGTTCAAAACTTCAAACCAACCTCAATGGATTAAAGTTTCTATATATTCCACATTACTCTCACCTCCTTAATATGCGTGCCAAGTTAATGTGGGAAGAATTTTATGGGACAGAAGAAGTATTTTTTAGCAAGAAAAAGAGTGCTTAATTATAACATCCATTTCAGCCACACAAACAACTCAAAATCTACTTATTATGTGTATCATATTGGTAAGCCAGGACTGGCCACCAAATGGAGGTAAGGAGTAATAAATATTATGGAGTATAAACCATCTGAATCGCTCATCTCCAGTGTGCTGAATTAAACCGGCAGTATCGTAGATCTTAAACATATCACCCGATTTTTTATACAGGTCCGGCCTCATATGAGCTAAAGCCAAACAACTCAATATCTCGTCCAACATCACCAGAATCCACAAACACCTTACAATGATGACCCATAATCTCAAAATGATTAATAATTGTCTACTCTTGTTCCAAGGAATCAAATATTATGAATGATCCACGGATATGGGTCGCATATGTGAAGGAGGTGGACGGAAAAATGGAACCTGAGGATAAGGTGGCCGTTATATTAACAAAGGAGGAGATTGAATAACAAATCGACTGGACAAGTACGTAGACAGGACCATGGAGGGAGTCTCCGTCTATCTTTTCTAGGATTCCAAAGATCCATGTTCCTAAATAGTCTCGAAGAAGGCCATCAAGACCCGACTTACCAGAATGTCCCGTTGCAAACTTGAGTATCTAACAGTAAAGGTCTGCTAAATCAAACCCAGTTGTGATTCCAACTCAACTCTACTCTTTTTATCATAAAGATCAAGTCCTTATCATAAACAATTAATCTTGATCCCAAGTGTGACTCAACTATTTCAACTGCTTCTTAAACCTCCTTGCTTTAACCCACGTATACACATTTAAAAGAACTAACCAGTAACCACCAAACCTGCTAATAGAACACATCAAAAGAAATATATTTTCCATGTTAAATCAAATAAATTAACATGTCACACTGAACAACTTTCTACATATCTTATGATGGTGTGAAGGTTGAAGAATGAAGAGGATATAACCATTCTTCTTGGCACAAAAATAGATGAAGCATACGATTTCCGATTATGATTTAATAGAGTACAGATTGGTTAAGAAATGGAGTTAGAGATAGAACTTGACGTTCCCAAGTTGCAGAATCACAGCTACATCAGATCTTTATCAACATTTTAGCGTTGGAGGTGGCTACAGATAAATCGTGAAGAATTCCGGAACCCTCCAAAAGAAATAGATGTAGTCTTTCTTTTGTTGTTAGAAGCGAAGATAAAATAGAAGCAAATTCTCGTTTGTATTTCTTGTCCCATATTCGGTCGGATTTCTTCTGCTGTGAGAAGCGGAGATAAAATTGAAATGAAGAAGACTTGGATTTCTCAAGAAAAAAACGAGTAATGAACAAGGGAAAAGGGAGTACAAGGTTTTCGTATTATGTAAGGTTCATTATGCAATTTTTTAAAGTCTTATACGGAAATTCTTACGTGGAATGTCTTCCAATTATATTAAGCCACATGTAGAAATGTACCGAAACATTCAATAAGAGGAATGCACCGAAGAGCTACCCTATAAATAATCCATCCTTGTAGGCTACAATGACTACATGTCAGTTACTCATTTCTGTGCGGTATAATTGCACATCTCAACCAATCAAGACTAATCCAACGGACTGGGTGAGAGTTTGAACTTGACGGTATTCTTTGATGCTAAGATGAACCATAGCAGCCTGAGTTTTAGGAGGATAAGGATGTTTGGGAATCATGGTCATGCTGTGAATATTCCTATATCTGTTGTAGTCAAGATTGCATACAACAATACGACCTAGTGGTTGACTTGATACTTTTGGTTAATCTTGTTTTTCTGAATTTTGATTTTGCCCAATTTTTTGATTTTTTCGCTTTGTAAATATATTAACTCACCATTGTTATAACCTGTTACTCTGTCCAGACAATGACCTTTTGCTTAATTGAAGGCTTAACATCACATTCTTATTTCTTGAGTGTAAATTACACTGTACCACCTCTAGCATTTTTGCAATTTCTATTTACTGTGTTCTACGAGTAGTATTTAATGCTAGAGTATTATTATTTAATGTTTTACCTTTTATAGATATGTGTGCTCGAGTAGTCTGCTTATACTTTTGATGGGTTGTGTGGTTGTAGCCATGTCTTTGGGTTTGTCTGGGGCGTGAGTAGGGTTGGACTGGGCCGAGCCCGGGCCCAAAAACATCAGGCCCGGTACTGGACCGGGTTTTTTAAATTTTGTCTTTTCGCATTAATTCCAGCCCCCAAACTGCCCAGCCCCACCCACCTAGCAGCCAGCCCAATGGGAAAAAAATTTAAAAAAATTAATTGGGCCCAAACTGGTCCTGCCTCACCCAAAAACTTCTGTTAAAGACCATTATTATGTCCATTGCCGTATGCCGTGTATTTTGATAGAGCATATGGTACTATGGTATGGTGTATTAGTGTATATGCCATTCTTTCTTGCTAATGTACTACTACCTCTATGGCTATATCCCTAAAAGTTTAATCACTAACGTTAAACATTCAACAATGATTTTTGTAAACACGGAGTATATTTTTGTAAAAGTTATAAATTTTATACTTTTGTGAAAATATATATTTAGCAATGTGTGTGTGGGGGGGGGGGGGGGGGGGTTGGGGGTGGGGGGTTGCAAACCCGACCTGATTCGGCAAGCCGGGATCGATCTGGGCCCAATTATAATTGGAATATTTAAGGCCCGACCCGGTACAAACCCGCCCCGGCCCAGTCCAACCCTACTCACGCCCCAGACAAACCCAAAGACATGGCTACAGCCACACAACCCATCAAAAGTATAAGCAGACTACTCAAGCCTCTTGTGTATATCAATCGCACATATCTAGGGATGGACTGGGTTAGGCCGAACCGGCCCGGAACCGGACCGACCCACTACTGTGCGGGCCCGGTTGGCCGGTTCCGGGCTTTTAGCCCATTTTGGAGGGTCGGGCGGGCCGGGCTCGAGCCCCATTTTTGTTGAACCGGCCCGAGCGGTTCAGGCCGGGCCCAGTTTTTTTTTTTTTTTTGTTTTTTCAATTTTTTTTCTTTTCCTAGGGTAGGGCTGGGTGTTTTGGGGAAGTTTGGGGGGTGGGTCAGGGGGGAGGTCAGGGGATAACAAGAAAGCCAAAAAAAAATTAAACATTGAACCGGGCCCGACCCGGCCCGACCCGGTTAGGCCCGGACCTGGTATCAACCCGGGCCGGTTCCGGGCCCAAGTATCTGGGAAAAAAGCCCGCCCGGCCCGGAACCGGACCGACCCAGGTCCATCCCTACACATATCTATGAAAGGTAAAACATTAAATAATACTCCCTCCGCCCCCTATAATTGTCCCATTTTTGAATGTCCCTTTATTATTGTGACATACCATATTTGGTAACATTTGTGTGGTTCTAATTCATTCTTACTTTATTTTCACTTTATCAACTCATTACCAACCACATAATTCTACTTTTCTTAAAATCACACCACTCCCTTACGTAACAATATTAGGAGGACGGAGGGAGTAATACTCTAGCATTAAATGCTACAGGTGGTACAGTGTAATTTACACTCAAGAAATAAGAATGTGATGTTAAGCCTTCAATTAAGCAAAGGGTCATTTTCTGGACAGAGTAACAGGTTATAACAACGGTGAGTTAATATATTTACAAAGCTAAAAAATCAAAAAATTGGGCAAAATCAAAATTCAGAAAAACAAGATTAACCAAAAGTATCAAGTCAACCACTAGGTCGTATTGTTGTATGCAATCTTGACTACAACAGATATAGGAATATTCACAGCATGACCATGATTCCCAAACATCCCAATCCTCCCAAAACTCGGGCTGCTATGGTTCATCTTAGCATCAAACGATATCGTCAAGTTCAAACTCTCACCCAGTCCAATATGAAATCGGCTTGGTGTCACCTTCACTGATGCCCCATACGGTTCGCTCCACTGAACAACGTAAGTTTCGTTTTCACCAATATTAGTCACGGTCCGTTGGATTAGTCTTGATTGGTTGAGATGTGCAATTGTAACCGAAGGCAAGTTTAGGTCTATGGCACTCATGTTGGAGGACCCACAGCTTTCACCAGTGTAGTTCAGAACCACTGGGGATGATCCATTGATACCGCATAGAAACGACATGTAGTCACTGTAGCCTACAAGGATGGATTATTTATATTTTAGTAAAAGAACAGGTGTACACTTCAATATTGTCATTTTATCAGCCATAAAGAGCGTGAACACTTTACTTTGCATGAAATACTATGCTCCCCACCCATACTTGGGCTAAGCTTGTTGACGGAAAATATCTTCCAGCTTTCTTGTGTTTCAAATAGGAAAACATTTTCGTTTGTTAAGATTTATGTGGAAAATGACTTCCCAAACGTTTCAGTCATTTTCCTAAAACAGTTTTTTCGTTTACGGTTTTGTGGACCTAAGTCACCAAATATTATATTACACATAGCACAACTTATTTTTTATTGAGAAAAATTGCTTTCGTGGGAAACATTTCCTTGGAAAACATTTTCCGCAAGTTATTTGTTTGGAAACAGATGGCACCTTAAGTTCGTACCACTAAGTTTGTTATGTCTACCATCTTCTAAAAGAGCATCTCCACTTTTAGCTATCAGACTGAAAACAAATGGAGCCCCAAGTTCATCCACTATGTTTGACATGTCTACCATTCTCTAAAACAAATTTTCCACTTTTAGTTTTCTGACTATTGTGATACTTACACGTCTAGAGTACCATCCTTTGAATATTTTCATTTTTACTTTTCGAAGTACTGTGACTCTGTGAGTCTGTGATAGATATACTTTAGTACCTATACTTCAGGCCTGTCTTTCAATGTTTTCATTTGTAGTCCGACTATTGTGATGTTGACACTTTTGGCACTAGCCTCTGAATTTTGTCACTATAGCTGGAGGACCAAAGTTGTGATTATCGATCACAGTAGGAGCATGGGCAAGAAATTTTGCTGCCAGAATTTTTCGACAATAGTTAGATGACTAAAAGTAGTGGGGGATCTAAAAGGAACTGTTAACTACTTAACTTTATCTCAAGTAGTTTAACTTCATCAAGTCTGTTATGCAAAAGCAGGGGCACTAAGAATATAAAGATAAAATCACAAAGAACATACGAATGCTATAACTTTTAAAACCACCAACTACTAGTATAGGAAAAGGACTCACTTGAATAGAATATGAGACCAGGATCCAAAGCAGCAGTAGCATTCACAAAACCACTCCCCATATCGAATGGTGTTGCAGGAGATTGGTTAGAGTCTGGATTAGAATATGCACGTTGGGCTTGTATGGGGCCTCCACTTTTGTCATACACAGATGCCGATGTCGAAAGTGCAGATCCTATAGCTGCAGGAGTGAAAGATGGAAACTTCTGCTTAATCAGGGCAGCTAAACCAGCAACATGTGGAGCAGCCATGCTTGTACCAGACATCATCGCAAAGTTCTCTCCTGTTAAGTGTTTACACTGCTGTCAGTTAAGAGTATGAGACAGCATGGCCTTAGATTTTGTTTGGAACCGCAAAATATTAGGGAAAGAAAATAGAGAGGCAAACATGGAGAAAAATGGCGAGGAAAGGACATTGATTCTACATCTTGAAAACCAAGCAAATTTTGGGATGCAAGGGAACAAATAAAAAGACATGCCAAAACTCAACAAATTCATTTTGCAAATTTGTTGATACTCATTTTATTTGTTTATGTCTACTGTACAAAGACAGGAACCTAGATATATGTAAAATAAAATGGTTTAAAAGCTAATCACATCCCATTTCCCTTTAAGTGTGTTGAAGTAAAACCAAACATACAAAAATAAATGTCCGTGGCATTTTAATCCCTTCCCCAACATTTCAGAGATCCGATCATAGCCTTAATTAAGTACTCCGTAATTTTTATCCCAAAAGTCTACCTAGAAACTCTGCAGAGTCAGTTCCGCCAGAGCTCCAAGCTGCCCATATTGAATTTCCAGGAGCAACGACGTTTGGTTTTAGGATTTCTGCATCAGTGAGAGAATTATCCTCTGGGTCTGGCCCACGAGCAGAATAAAACATAACCTTTGGAGCGGACAAGCTGAAATTTGCTATGATTCCCCCTGAAATGGAGGCAACTGCCCCAAACTTGACGATGTTGTTGGTAATTTCATCCCTCAAGAGAGAGGAGTTGTAGTACTTCAGAAAAATCTGACATACAGAGTTAAATTGACAAACGTTATGCTACCAAATGCAAAAAAGTTGAATCTTTCCCTCTCACAAGTAATCAGTATGGGTATGTTTGGATCAATGCATCCAGTAAAATGCTAGGTAAAGTAAAGAAGTGGCTAAAAACAGATACTTTTTTGCATTTGGTTTTACCTCGGAAAATGAAAAATAAAATGGAATGTATACTACCTCAGTCCCACTAAATTGGGACATGAGGAGGTACCATGATTATTAACAAAAGTGAAATTACGTTTTTGGTATTGAATTTTCGTAAAGAACAAATAAAGTAAGAATACAGTAGAAACACATAAATTTAGCCAATATGGTATGGACAATTTTAGCTAGAATGACGAAAAAGATGGGACAAAGATAGTGCAACAAATATATTGTATAAATATTTACATATGCTTATATTTTTCACTCTGTATATAAAAAAATTAATCAATGAAATGTGATTGAACAAATATCAGAAATATATTTATTGATTTTGAACAAACTTTTCTTTTCTCACATGTATTATTTCCTTCCATATCTCCCTTATACTTTCCTTCTTGTTTGCTTTATCTAGCATTTATCGAATTCCAAAAAGACCCTATAAAGATCGATTTTGAAAAGCAATAAGTGTTTACCTTAGAATCATTTGTAGACGGAATGATTATGCCGGGCAATCTCATTGGTACGGGATTTAATTGGAAACCTATGACAAAAGGATCCATATAAAAGACTACACCAGCAGCACTAAGGTTGCTGGCAGTTTCTAAGGCCTGTTTGATGGTGGAAAGTCCGAGAACAAACCGGATAGAGTAGCTGCATATCAATAGATTCCCTTGAACAAGAGTCTGATTGAGATTACTATAATCTTGGCATTCGCTCATATACATATCATCTGAAGCTCTTGTATCATTCAAAGCATCAACTGCAGAAACCAGTGTGTACATCGTATTTGGATTCGTCCCAGCTGGCACACAACAAAACATTTAGTAAGGGACATATTAATTAGTTCACCAAACACAAACAAAATCCATATAATTAAAAAAAACATACGTGCAAGACCAACTCCGAAGATGGTGAGATTGTTCCCAAGAAGGATAGAGTTAGTGTAGATGCGATCATGGGTGGAAGCACCAACAGTAAAGATCCAAGGGCTGAAGGAGGAAATGCTTTTTGGTGATGGTCCAGTATTCCCTGCTGCTTGCACTACAAATATACCGACCTTTACAGCTGAAAGCAAGGCCATGTCTATAGGGTTAAAGAACGTTGCTATTCCAGGAGGACGTCTGTTTGGAGTGATTGACAAACTTATTATGTCTACTCCATCCTGAGCTGCCTGTAAATGCACAACATTGTTATAGATGACTTTTTAAAGTCAATGACTACTTAGAGCATGGAAACACTTTCAGACTAAAAGAGGAGTATAGTAGGCCTATATGATAGGGACTGAAATGTGTAAAAAAGAAACACTAGTGTTGGGACTGGTTAACCAACCATATGAAATTACTATTTTACCCTTATTTTAATCAATTAATGAGTATTTTCTCACGTCTTTAACATGGGCTGCTTCATTAGAGGAGAAAAAACTGTCCTCGTGTAAGTAACTAAGTGTCGATTTTTACTTTGAGAAAGTATTAATTGCTTGTTTTCTAGTGTTGCCCCTCGACATCTTTGAATGATCCATGGTACTCTCTATGAGTCTTTATTGTACGGGTAATGCAGTCATGTTATTGTATATTTATCTCGAATTTAGGAAGTTTTATTGTGTCCTTAAAGTGTGCGTAAGGGTCTAAAGCAACACTTGCTTGAGATCAAAGGGATTAAGGGAGTAGGTAACTATATTGAGTAAAAGTTGCAGTAATCATTTTCCGGTATAATACTTCCATGTGGTAACATGCGGTGTCCCTCCACCATTACACCAATGAGCATATGGTACACGACACGAGTGAAAATTTAAGGGTCTGTTTACTAACAGAGATATTTTCCTGTTTTCTACTTCTGTTTTTCATTCTCCAATTTTCTATTTTTATTTTTCAGTTTTTCTATTTCCAGTTTCTATTTTTTAGTTTTCCATTTTCAAATCTGAAAACATGTTCATCAATTTTTTCACCCAGTTCAGAAGACTGACACGTTTACTTCACAGGTTACTAAATGGTGCTTATTAAGACTCGCGTTAATAAGCGACGCGTAAAATAAGCATTTGTTATAAGATCATGTTTACTTCAAAAGGTTTAAAACACCGTTTAACATTAAAATGTCCAAAATAACCCTATACATATATAGACACACAAACATTCATGAACACAAATATATAATATAATAATTGGGGTCGATCACCTCGTACGTGTACCCATACCCCTAACCCCTACCCTGCCCCTATACCTCGTACCCCCACCCTACACCCTACACCCAATTCCACACCCTTGACCCCTACCCCTACCCGTATCACGATCTTACACCCTAAAACCCTTCATACCCACTCATACCTACTCGTAGGGGTCGATGTAGGGAAGGAAGGTATGGGTGGGGGTGGGTGGGGGTGGGGTGGTAAGGTCTAGGGTACGGGATTGGGTGGGGTAGTGGGTGGGTTAAGGTGGTGGTTAAGGGTAAAGGTGGGGGTAGTGAGTAGGGTTAGGGTTGGGGTAAGGTAGGGGTAGGGTAGGGAGTTGGGATAGGATGGTGGTAGGGTGGGGACAGGATCCGGGTGGGGCTAAAAGGGATAGGGTGGGGGTACGATGGTAATGGGGGTAGGATGGCAGTAGGGCGGGGGTAAGATGGCGATACGAGGGTGGGGGTAGGGTGGGGCCGATGTAGGGGACATGTGGGAAGGGGTAAGGTAGGGGTAAGGGGTAATATACGAGGTGGGGGTAGGGTAGGGTGGGTCAGGGTGGGGTTGAGGTGGTAGGGGGTGGCGGTAGGGTAGGGTGGATCGGGGTGGGACCGAGGTAGGGGCATGTAGTAAGGGGTGGGGGTAGGGTCATTGTAGGGAAAAGGGGTATGCGGGGTGGGTAGGGTAGGGTAGGGGTAAGGGGTAAGGTACGAAGATGGAGGTACTAGAATGGAATCGACATCGGAGCGGGACCGGACCCACCACTAGGTGTAAGTATGCAAATTCATTGCAGCGACCTATAGCATCTGCGTTTTCCAAATTTGGAAAACTAGTAAAAGTCACTTCTCCAAATCATTAAGAGAAAGAGAGTGTCTCATTTTTTTCGTTTTGGAAAACGGATTGGTAAACGCGTTTTTCTGTTTCCTTTCTCCAGTTTTCCAACAATTTTCTTTGGTAAACACGTTTCCTGTTTTCTGTTTTCTAGTTTTCCAGTTTTCTGGAAAACTGGAAAATATCTCTGTTAGTAAACAGGCCCTAAAGTTTTGGTGGACGGTCATGGAGGTTTTCTATTGGCTTATATGGCCAACCCCAGATGATATGGGAATAAGGCTTGGTTCTTGTTGTAAAGAACTAAAGCGTATTTTATTACTACCTCCGTCTTGCCTAAACGTTTCCATTACAAAAGACAATAATTAAACAAGGAAATTCGAGTATATTTAGAGAAATAGTTTTGATGATTATATAACAAATAATGGGCTCATTGATGATAATTGTGATGTTATAGATGTATTCTTTTTAATACTTGATGATTAAGGATGTTTTTACTTGGACTGTAATTTACTGGTCTGGTCTGGTCTGTTTTAATCTGATCTGATCTGGTCTGGTCTGTTTTGGTCTGGTCTGAAATTTTATTTTTTATATTTTTTGCATAAAGATTTTATTTTTTATATATGTTATAATCCATAAATAATTATATTTTATTCATTTATAATTAAATATAATAATACTAATAATACTAATAATAACAATGATGATGATGATGACGACGGCGGCGACGACGACGACGACGACAACAACAACAACAACAACAACAATAATAATAATAATAAAATATGGTCTAGTCTTGGGTGATCTGAAATGTTATTTTTTATATTTTTTGCATAAAGATTTTATTTTTTATATATATTATAATCATTTCATTTTCATTTACCCTAGTGTCGCAAAGGCTCCCACCTACGGTGGGGTAAGGGGGGTCGGATGTACGCAGTCTTACCCCTATACTAAAGCACAAAGAGACTGTTTCCGGATGACCCATAGTGAAAATCGCGTCCAAAATTGCATGGACTGACTGCTGCTTCATTACAAAGAAGCGCAGACAGTTTAGTGAGCCATTTTGCTTTATTCCATCATAATCTCAAGCCAAAAAATAATGAATCTTTGGCTCCATTGCAAATGATGGAATATATATATATTATATTTTATTCATTTATAATTAAAAATAATAATAGTAATAATAGTAATAATACTAATAATAATAACAATAACAATGACGATGATGATGATGACGATGATGACGATGATGACGATGATGATGATGATGATGATGATGATAATAATAATAATAATAATAATAAAATATGGTGTGGTGTGGTCTGATCTGGTCTATTTTGGTCTGGTTTGGTCTGGTCTGGGATGAATTACAGTCCAAGTAAAAACAAGCTAAATTGTCATTTAAGAGTGCTAATTGTTTCCTAAAATAGAATAGGAACCTTTAACTCGGACGTCCATAAAAGGAAAGTAACAACCTCATGTTGGGACCGAGGGAGTAACACAAGCAAAAAAAATGAGCAAGTGTGTATCTTTATTTTTAACTCACCAAGTACTCTCATAGCGATTGAATGATAGGGACACAGGCATTTTTGACAAAGAGGATAGATATTATGGCCAGGTGTACTTTAGAAGGAAGAAATAGACTAGCTCTTGTTTGTAACTACTCTCGGTTAGTCTAATATGTCTATGAATAGAATAAGGAGGGGCAAGGTCGAGTAGGCTGTTAGACCTCTTGTCTTGGGACCGGGAAGGATCAGAGAATAGTTTTCTCTCTTCTTTTGGGACTGTTGTACGCAGGCCGTCTTCAGGAATTTTGGTGCCCCAGACAAAAAATAACTAATGATATCAAATTGTACTTCAAATTAATAACATAATTAAATATGAAATAATTAGAAAATTATAACATCATTTTTTACTAAATGTAAAAAGAAATACCTGATTTAAAATTGATGTAAAGTATGTGAAAATATCAATTCTTCAAAGAAATAAATAAAATTATAAAACTACTACCTAATAACATATTCTTCTTGCTTTTTGATGAGCAAATTTGTAAGTACATCACCACAAATCCACAATCAAGAGTAGATAACACTTTTTTTCACCATTTGCAAGCACCGAGTTTAGTGTTTGTCACTAAAACTCCGTTTCTTATCAACGAGGTAATCATCATGATCGGTAATTCTTATTGGGCCAGTTTATTCTATATATATAGGAAAATTCGATGGGGCGGTTTCCGGTTGAATTTTGGACCTGAGGCGCCGTCCGAACACCGCCGTTTGGGGCGGTTTCCGGTTGAATTTTTCGATGAAATTTTTATGGTATGTTATGCATAAAGTCTAGTTTATTCAAAAAAAACTTCAGCTCAAAACTCGATCCGGAAGGCCGTCAAATAATTTTTGGAAGTTGACTGCATTTTTCTATGTATAATTTTGCGCAGTTAATTTCCAAAAATTATTTGACGGTCTTTCCGGTCGGATTTTGAGCTGAATTTTTGTGTGGATAAACTAGACTTGATGAAGAACATATCATAAAAATTTCATCAAAAAATTCCACCGGGTACCACCGCGAAAGGCATTGTTCGGACGGCGTTCGAACCAAAACCAGTTGGACAGGAGAATGATGCCCCCTTGAGAGTGGTGCCCTAGGCCACTGCCTAGGTGCCTACCCCCTATGGCCGGCCCTGGTTGTACGGTGTTTCCTTCTCAATAAAGTTGCAGAACTGTTCTTCATTCAAATTTCCTACTGATTAGCAAGATTCATATTGTTTTCTCTGTCAATACCTGCGCAATCTCTATCGGTGGTATCAGAGCACGTTAGATCTCTGGATGATCGTACTCGTGCGAAAATGGAAGGCCATGTGATGGAATTGGAGAAAAATCTGAAGGAGACGACTACGGCTCAAGTGGACATGGCGAAAACGATGGCCGCTATGCAAGCTAGCTTAGGGGACATACAAAACAGACTCCCAGGACGTGCGAGGAGTCGATCGCATCACTCGAACTCGTCGCATCGTACTTCTCATCACCAACACACGAAGAATAGTGATCATTCTGATAGTTCCCGAAATTCTTCTGAGGATTCTTCTTCGCGACACCATCGCGATCATCACAGGAATTTCAGACGCCATCATCACTCTGGTCGGAGAATAGATTTACCTATTTTCAATGGAGAAGATGCTTTTGGTGGGCTATTGAGGATGGATCATTACTTGCGGTTAAATCATACGGAGGAAGATGATAAGGTTGATGTTGCTGTGTTGGCCATGGAGGATCAAGCTTTGAGCTGGTTCCAGTGGTGGGAGGGCCAAGCTCGTTATATGAACTGGGAGATTTTCAGGGAGGAGGGGAATACACAAGGTCAGAAGAAGTATGGTCCCAGGCTATCACAAGGTGAATTGCTTGAAAGGAGTAGGAAGGGTTTGTGTTTTAAATGTGGGGAAGATTGGAATAAGGGACATGTTTGTAAGATGAAGAACTACAAAACGATCCTAGTTGAGAATTCTGATGGAGAAGCTGAGTCTGAAAATGAATCCTTAACTTCTGGAGATGATAATACTGTAGTTGTGAACCATAAAACTATGCAACATTCAGTTTTGAGAAAAGAAGGCATTCCTTCTATGAAAACATTCAAGGTGGAGGGTAGATTGAGGTGGCAAGGAGAGAAAATGGTTAACATCCTGATTGACAGTGGTGCTACCCACAATTTTTTGTCACAGGAATTGGTAGAAAGGTGCAAAATCCCTCATAGTCCCATTCAATGTTATAAGGTACAAATTGGAAATTGTGAGTGAATTCCAAATGGAGGCAGATGTACAGGGGTGAATCTGAATAAATCTGAATATACAGGGAATTGATATTCAGCAGATTTATTACTTGTTGGAGTTGGGAGGAACTGATATTGTTCTGGAAATGGAATGGTTGACTGCGTTGGGAGATATGGAAGTGAATTTCAAAAGTCAGATTATCAAATGGAAGCTACAGGGACACAGTTACACCATTAAGGGAGATACAACATTGAATCAAATGGAGGTGTCTTTAAAGACCATGACTCACATATTACAGCAAAGTGGAGATGGATATTTGCTATATTGTGAGAACAAAAGGGGTATGTTGGAGCAGGATGATGATAAAAGGGATGAACGGGAAGAAGTGATATCAGCATTTCCAGAAGTATTCACTACTAAGTTGAAGTTTCCTCCTGCCAGAAGTTGTGATCATGCCACAAATATTAAGGAGGGGGCAAACATCCCTAACCTAAGGCCATACAGGTACTCTTTTGATCAGAAGAATGAGATAGCGAAGATTATTAGTGAAATGCTCAGTTCTGGGATAATAAAACACAGTAATAGCCCTTACAGCAGTCCAATTCTATTGGCCAAGAAGAAAGATGGTGGGTGGAGGTTCTGTGGTTGATTATAGGGCCTTAAACAAAGTGACCATTCCTGATAAATTTCCTATCCCTGTGATAGAGGAGTTGCTGGATGAGCTAGGAGGTGCCAGAATATTTTCATAGTTGGATTTAAAATCCGGATATCATCAGATCAGAATGAAGGCTAATGATACTCATAAGACTGTTTTCAGAACACATGAAGGGCATTATGAGTACCTTGTAATGCCCTTTGGGCTGACCAATGCCCCTTCAACATTTCAAGCTCTTATGAATGAAGTTTTGAGACCTTTCCTAAGGAAATTTGCACTGGTATTCTTTGATGATATACTAGTTTATAGCAAAACTAGAGTAGATCATAAAGAACACCTTAGGAAGGTACTGGAGTCATTGAGGAAGAATGAGCTAGTGGCTAATCAAAAGAAGTGCTCCTTTGGTCAAGAGCAACTGAATTACCTAGGCCATATCATATCTGAAGAAGGGGTAGCAGCTGACCCTAGTAAAATTGAAGCCATGAAGAGTTGGAATGTACCTAAAGACCTGAAGGGATTGAGAGGGTTTCTGGGCTTGACTGGGTATTACAGAAGGTTTGTGAAAGGTTATAGCCGGATTGCTGCACCTTTAATAATCTTATTGAAGAAGGATGGATTTAGATGGACTGAATTGGAAAATCAAGCTTTTGAAAATCTGAAGGCAGCTATGATATCCTTACCAGTTTTAAGGGTTCCAGATTTCAGCAAATTGTTTGTTATAGAAACTGATGCTTCAGGAAAAGGTTTGGGAGCTGTACTGATGCAAGGAGGACCAATTGCGTATATGAGCAAGGAATTATCTCCAAACATTTGAGTAAATCAGTTTATGAGAAGGAGTTGATGGCAATTTTTTTCGCCATCCAAAAATGGAGGCCATACCTACCTACTGGGGAGAAGATTTGAAGTTCATACTGATCAGAGAAGCTTGAAATACTTGACTGAACAGAAAATAATGGGGGATGATCAACAGAAGTGGATAGCCAAGCTCATGGGTTATAATTTCAGCATTAAATATAGCATAGAAGGGGAGTAGAGCTGGCAGTTGGAGATAAAGTTTTTCTGAAAATACAACCTTATAAAATGAAGAGTTTGGCTAGAAGGATTCACCAGAAACTCAGTCCCAGATTTTATGGTCCTTATGAAATCACAGAAAAGCTGAATCCTGTGGCTTTCAAGTTAAAGTTGCCATTAGATAGTAGAATACATCCTGTATTCCACATATCGTTACTAAAGAAGGTGCTGAAACCTACTGTTCAGTATCAAGAAATTCCCAAGTGCCTCACAGAAGAGTATGAGTTACAAGTGATACCTCAAGGAATCAGAGAGATCAGGGTCAATCAGGCAGGGAAGAAGGAGATTTTGGTGCATTGGAAGGGTCTTCCTGTGTTTGAAGATTCATGGGAGGATGAACAACAAGTGATCCAAGATCAATTCCCAGATTTCCAACTTGAGGGCAAGTTGGATTTTCAGGAGGGGAGTATTGATAGGGACACGGGCATTGTTGACAGAGGATAGATATTATGGCCAGGTGTACTTTAGAAGGAAGAAATAGACTAGCTGTTAATTAGTTACTCTCGGTTATCTTGTTTGTAACTACTTTCAGTTAGTCTAATATGTCTATAAATAGAATAAGGAGGGGCAGGGTCGAGTAGGCTGTTAGACCTCTTGTCTTGGGACTGGGAAAGATCAGAGAATAGTTTTCTCTCTTCTTTTGGGACTGTTGTACGGTGTTTCCTTCTCAATAAAGTTGCAGAACTGTTCTTCATTCAAATTTCCTACTGATTAGCAAGATTCATATTGTTTTCTGTCAATACTTGCGCAATCTCTATCATTGAATACCAACAATCTTTTTCCCTTAAAAAGGAAATGCCTAGTTTTCTTTGAATTGAAATAAAAAATCACAAATAAATAAATACAGAGGGCATCAAAAATGATGAGAGCACCTGGTCAATTGCGGCAACTACATCTGCAGCAAAGCCACCAAAGCTCTTGTACAATGACTTGTATACAGCAATGCTAAAAAACATTTGATCCAGTCAATATCGTATTAAAATACAAACTTAAATAATAATATAAAATACAGTAATTTCAACCATAACAAACTACAATAAATATCCTTTTAAGTAAACAAGCATCTACCCACATTAACAATTAATAAGAATTTCCAGATTGGAGCTATCAATAATCCATGCAGTTTAAACTTTAGTCTAATGTTTTCCGGCACTAATATACCCCCTGAATCTCTCTTAGGACCACACAAAATGGTACTCACTCGGTTCTTTATTACTGTCACATATTCCTTTTTGGGAAGTCTTTTATTATTGGTCCGCCTTTCCCGTTTTAGTAAGTTTTTCCTATAAACACACCTTAATACCCTCACTTTTATTACCCTCACTTCTTTTACTGTTTGCACTTTGCAGACTACTTTTTCTTTCCTACTTTTTCATTGATTTTTTCCTTCACTCATTTAATTACTTTTCTTATTACATTCTCTTTCTTGCTTTTTCATTACTTTTCTCATCCACTAACTTACTTACTTTTCTGAACACATGCTCTCTCCAACTCCTTTTATTTAAAACACAAACCCCTACTACACTCTATATTAACTCTACTATTTTCTCCTTGAAACTGTGAATAAACTAAAAGGACACTTAATAAAGAATGGAGGGCGTATTTACAAACCCTAATTAGACTGTTATAAGAAAACTGGTTCAGCATTAGCACCCTCATTTTTTCATTTTCCAGTAAACTGATCATTTTGCATGTGTGCATAGACAAAGGGAACTAAAAGAAGGAAGACATGCCATATATCGATCATAATATCACATCATCACACTCTACACACATATTATCTATATCTACTAATGTAAAATAAGATACGAACAAAGTTATTGTATGTCTTACTGTGCGCGAGGAGCCATTCCACTGGCATTACCAAAATTCTGCCCAGCTACAACCACAGGGATCCCATGGTTCCCTGCTGCAATAGAAGCTGTATGCCTGAAAGAATGCTCAAAATGAGTTTATTAAAAATTTTGCATGTAAAATTAGTCATGAATATACAGAGTGTCAATCGAAACAATGAAAAAGTACCCACATTGAACTTAAGTGGAGTAATTAATGTAGTAAGATCTAGTCTGATGGTGTTTATAGGTGGTGCCATAGTGGTGTCATCTTTCTGAAGCAGTTTAAGCACAATAAAGAAATCCAGCAAATTCCAATAAATTACACTTATGAGCATGCCAAATTTGTCAATTAGGCCATCCTTTTGCAGTTTCACTGCCTCATTTACTTGGTATGTATATACACAGCAAATTTTATAATAATCTTGAGTCATTTACTTGCTTTACACTATGCATGCTTATACTCACGTATAAAATTAACAAATTTTGTTATTAAAGAGTGTTAAGCAGGTTCGTGAAGCAAACATTCACGAAGGGCCCCACCTGACTTGATAGAATTTTCCATTACTTAATCCCTTCTTTTTGCACAGTAAAAGTCTGAAGTTGTTTTAGCAAAAAATTTGTCAGGATAAAAATATAATGCTGGCATAGAATTGGGGATTCTTTGAGAAAAGAGATATTCCTTCTGTATACCAATGTTCTTCCACTCAGAGTTTTGTATCAATTTTTAGGAGTGCGGCCAAGCCATGTGGAAATACTAAAGAGTGTGCATAGTGCAAAAGTTAAGACAAAGGGAGGAAGTTTATGGTAACAGTTTACTGGCAATAAGAAAATGGGAAGAACTTATGGAGATACTCACGTCCCATGGCCATCGCCATCAAATGGCGAAGCATAGTCCTGAGTTGCATTAAATATGCCTCTAGTTATAGCAGAGGCAGCAAAATGGCGGGCACCAACCAGCTTTCTGTTACAGGATCCAGATGGGAAATCCCGGGTGACCTCACAAATGCCTGAAAAGTGATCCGGAACTGGATATGGGTTTTCGGGTGTATTGTCAGAGAAGCTTGGGTGTGTCGGATCAATTCCAGTATCCACAAATCCAATAACAACTCCTTCTCCAGCAGTTACATGCCCACCCTCCTGGGCCCATGCCCCGTTTGGTAAACCAAGGAATTGAGGTGTGTAAGTGGTAGCTGTCCTGACAGAGAAATCCAAAACCACATTTGACACTTCTCTCCTTCTCGACAGTCTATCGGCCTTCAAGAAACAAACAATCGAAACAAATAGGTAAAGAAAGATATGTTACAGGGGAAAAAATATGTAAAGGAATATACACTTAGTATGAGTGATAGTTTTGAAGTATGGAACAACATATGACATACCTGTCGGGGAGTCACGAGCACAGCAAATCCATTGATCAAGTAGTGGTAGCTATAGAGCTTCATATACTTTTCTCCTTTGAATACCTTGCTCAACAAAGAATTATGCATTCTAAAAGTGTGAGAAGCATGGCTCCATCTACTTGAAACATTGCTGATTCAAACAGAAACATCAATTAAAAGCATAAGCATCTGATGAAGTCATCATTTATTCACTCGTTAAAAGTAAAAAAATGATAAACAAAACAAAAGGAATATTAGCTCTGAATTTCCAAGTGTAAACTGAACTAGTTGAAAATGCCAAATCTCCGTAAACTCAAGTACCCTTTTGCAAAAACAAAACAAAAAACAGGTCCCTATCAAACTAGTCTAACCGAAGCATTTTAAAACATAAAGAGAAAAAGATAGACCAATCACTCAAACAGTCTCGGCATTCTACAGATCAACTCAATCAAGTGAAGAAGTTCATCTTTACTATGTGGCATAGTCTAAAAATTCTAAAAGATAAGAAAGAAGCTAAGAAAAAGCAGTACCCTTTTCAAAAAGAGTAAACCAAAAAGATAAAGACAAAATGATAAACCAAACACCCAAATAGAAGGGAAAAACGGTCAAAAATAGCTAATCACAATCATGCGATTATCTCAGAAACAATTTGAGAAATAAAAAGATACAACAAGAGGGTAGTACCTAGGCTTGATTAATCTGTTAGATTTAATTGATGCACCGCCACCGCTGAGCTCGCTGGAGAAAAGAGGGTCAATAAGAGAAGTAGAAGCTTGTTTCAAAGTCACAATGTACACTCCACCTTCAGTATCTGCAGCTGCAACATTTCGTTGACCCCAAACGCGACCCAAGGAAACACCCACATACAGTGCTACTATAATCATAAAATCACACTTAATGCCGAACCACTTCTCCATTATCTGCATGTAAAAGAGCACAATAGGCTTTCTGGTTTTCAATAACAAGAATACCCACTTGCGGAGCCGAGAAAATCCAACAAAAAAGAGAGGATTTTTTTCTTCAAGAAATAGAAGTACCAATTCGCAGGATCTGAAAATTCAGCTCAAATAAGACAAACAATGAGAAAAATAGTCCCTGAGGTTTTCAAGAGCTACCCATTTGCAGAAGAGGCTGTGTATATGGTTTGGTTTCAGTACAAATGAAAGTGTTTTAAGTACAGTCTCTTGCACTACAGCTGTAAAGACAAAGCTCTTGAACTATCCACCATTTACTACAGGTGCACTAAAGTAAGCTAAAGCAGCGGAGTTAATTATAAAGAGAAGAATCCTGTGAAGTTAAATGGCCCAACGGCCATGACAATACAGTATTACATACACTATTTCACTTGCGGAGTATTTCTTAATTGCATTGTTTTAAGCCTTTACCTCTCTTTATTTTTTTCTTTTTTCTTTTTTGCTCCGGCTATTGTATAATACGTAGTATTAAAAATAATAAAATTTATAGTTCTTTTTTCTTTTACCTAAATTTAATAATGAACTTTAGCTATTTTACCTAAACTTTTCTTTTTTAGATGTTTTTACCTAATTTTTTCTTTCTTTATTGATATATTATAATTTACTCGAAGTTCATTAGATTCAGCACAAGTTAGTATTATCAAATAGGTTCCAAACTTTTTAACCAATGTTTTAAAATTCATATTTGAGAAATGATATTAAACTTTTGAGGGAAAAAACAGAAATGCAAGTCTTTTATAAATTTTTTTGATAATTAACTAAATATTCGTCATTAGTGAAAATGAATAGTTATTAACTAAATATAAACGAAAGAAAAACATAAACGAAATTTTCTAGTATCAGATTTATCAAATTCTTTTCAATTTTTTCCATTTCGAGTATGCTTGTAATTAGACATGATTTGGTCTGGTCTGATGAGTTTAAGTCTGGACTGATTATCACTAGTGAAAAAACGGGGATTGGAGGCGCTTCTGAACATGTGCGTGCGGCGCTTTAAGCGCCTCTGATTTTACCGCCGCAAATGCTGGATTGGAGGCACTTTTATGTCAGAAGGGCCTCAAATTTTTTTAATTTGATTTTTTAAATCAAAATTTTGCGGTGCTTTTTTCCCTATAAGCGTCGTACGCACGACAACTTACAACAAAATTTGCGGCGCTTTTAATGTTAAAAGTACCTCTAAAATATTCAGGAATCACACATTAGAGGCACTTTTGTTTGTGGAAGCGCCTCTAATTTCAATTTAAAAAAAAGATTTTTTTATTACCAAATATCATACTTTAATTATTTACAAAACACTTAAAAGACATTACATGCACATTCATTCGTAAACTCCATATTAAACGTACAATCAGAATTCAACTATGTAAGAGTTCAAATATGAGATATTACCTAAACTAGGACTAAAACAGTTTGGAAATTCCAAAATAGGATTGTCATGTTTTTATTCCCAAAATAGGACTAAATAATGTCATGCTTTGGCAGTACCAGACTTCAAACATGGCAGTATTTTCTAAACATGGCAGTAATTAGTCTTATTTTGGGAATAAAAAACACGACAGTCCTATTTTGGAATTTTCAAACTATTTTAGTCCTATTTCGGGAACTTTCCCTTCAAATATTCATAATTCCCAAAATAAATGTCTACAAAAGTCTACAAATCAAAAGAAATTACATTAACATCTTCAAATATCTACAAATCCTACATATTCATAATGTCATCTACAAAATACCTAGCTCACACATTTTTGATTTCATCAAACTCTTCCTTCGAATATGGTTGAGTTCTTGAATTCCCAAACGTGAAAGCATTGATAAGAACATAAATAAAATGAATAATACGTAGTATTAAACTAAATTATATATAAGTAGGTTATTTTATGAAATCCACTTATTGAAGTATATAAATAAAATACATGTCCAATATATGAACTTCCAACATAAGATTAGATATTACTTCTCACATAAACTTCATGGCATAATACCCACATTCTGCATTGACCGCTTGCCTTGCACACTTTAAATTTATGAAAAATATACAATATTATTACATAATAATATAATTCTTTCAAATAACACTTTTTTTAATTAAGGCATAAATAATATAAATAAGAGTAGATATATGATCAAATGTACCTTGATGTCATGCCACCTAATTGATTTGCCTCAACCCTTTTGTGTGGAAGCAACTCTATACATTCTACAATGCCAACTCAATATATACACATGCATACATGCTCAATATCGACATAAAAACATTAATTTTAAAGATCACAACTAAATCATTAAAAACATACATCGTCAAATCCTTTTGAATAGCAAATATGGGATGAATTTGGGAATGAATTGAAGATATAGCCTTTATCAACCTTCGGACAAATTGCAATCACAATCCAATAATACCTATATTTCATAAGACAATAGAAGGGGGTGAAGAACAGCCTCACTGACCAATGCATGTGAACTGGATTCAACCATTACTTTTGGTGAGTCTCTCGGGATAAAAGGCAGTTTCTTTTTTTTGCCACATCCTTCTTTTTTTGACGTAGATGGTGGTTCCTAAAACAATTACAATAACAAATATGATACGTATTTATAGCGAGATAATACAACAATTTAAATAGAATGAGAAAATTGAAGGTTGATAAAGGCTATATCTTCAATTCATTCCCAAAAAAACTAACGACGTTGTCCACTGAACAAAAGAACCTACAACGTCTGCTACAATATTCATATCAGCGGCTTCATTAGGATATAGAAAGGGACAATTTCCAAAATTTGGATATGCCATAGATACAGTGGAGGACCTGAGGGGGGCTAGGGGGGCATGTGCCCCCGCTTCGGCCCCGGAATTTCACTAGTAGCACTTAAGGTAAAAACCAATGCTTCCGCTTTGGGCCCGACATTTCACTAGTACACTTAAGGTAAAAATCAGTGCCCCGCTTAATTCATACTAATATTTGATAATTAAGATACTAAAGTGTTACAGTTATATAAATAAAAAATTAATACAAAATATTTAAATTTTGGCTGAATTAAAACAAAAGATATAGAATTATCAAAAAACCAAAAAAAATAATTAAGGGTTGAAAACAAAAAAGTAACAAAAAAAAGTTAAAATGCAAAAGAGTAGCCCAATGTGCAGGCGGCTAAAAGTGTATAACTATTAAAAGTTGTTGGGTTAATGGCCCAACGCGGGCTGACCCATAAACTCTTAGGCGAACCCTATGAACATCCCCGGAAGGCCCAATACAACGGGTTACCCTTCCGCTTATTCTGGTGAGGTTCGTCCCCAAGAGGCCGATGGGACGTACGTATCCTAGCGTGGGCAGAAATCTCTAGCCCAGGAGCAGCACAAGACGTTCGTCTGTGGGACTTCAGACCCAGCAGAAAGCAGGAAACAAACTCGAGGGGACGAACGTCCCCATCCTTGGCGGGAAGCCAAGGTCCTAGCAGGGAACAAGAGGCGAGCTCATGGGGACGAAAGTCCCCCACCCCTTGGCGGGAAGCCAAGGTCCCAGCAGGGACACAAGAGGCAAACTCATGGGGACGAACGTCCCCCACCCATTGGCGGGAAGCCAAAATCCGGGTGGGAAACACATTTAATGTAGAAGATTCTGATGGGAAGCGCATTGAATGCAGAGATTTGGTGGTTGAGAGTCCAACCATCCACAGTTCACCACGTCAGTTTATCCAACTACCCATTGGCGGTATAAATAGTAGCATTTATTTCTTTGTAAGGGGTTGGCTGTGACACCGCACCCGGATGTACTCGAATTTAAAATTCCGTATGTATTTGATTTTTCTAGCGAATGATTTCGTGTGAAAGAATGATATATTTAATTAATGGATGATTAATTAAATTATTTATCGGGTACATAAAATTGAGAATGGACTAACAAATATTTAGTTGGGTCATCATATTAATTATAGAAGCCCAATAAAATGCCAACTAAGGTTGAGGAAAACGTTTGGGCAACCCAAGTGCTATTTCGATCCAACCTGCCAGAAATAGCAAGAATACGATTAGGGGGCTTCCTACACTTTAATTGAGGGTAGCCCTTATGATATAGAGTCCCACTGAAATGGAGAAGAGCCTAAATAATACATTGGGTCAGAGTAAATTAAAAGGAGTAGCCCATGAACCAATCCCAATTACAATCGGCCCAACTTACTAAAAATAGAGGATAAAGGAGGAGAATCTCCTTATCCTCTCATTTGAGAGGCTACGTAAGAAGTGAGAGGACCTTGGAGAGCCTTATTCTCATAGAGCAAGCTCAAAGAGAAAAGGGGGTCAAGAAGAGAAGGAAATCCGATAGAAAAAGAAGCCTAACGGTAAGAATCTCGTAGCTCCGGTTCTTGTTCTTCCGTTTAATATATTTTTCGTATATGATTTTATAGAAATCTTATGATGGATTCTAGGAGATGTTCTACACGTTTAAAAGTGTAGAAAATGATATAAAGTGTTGGTATTTAACTTGGAAGAGTTGTGGAATCGATATGAATTGAAATCGCCGGAAACCGCCATTTCTAGGAGCTGTTTTCGTGCTACAGGGCCTGAAAGCCGGAGCACTTTTGCAAAAGCCGGGCGGCTTTTGCCCTCTTCCAGCCAAGTCCATTTCGGATCATTTCCGATCGAAGCTTTAACGAAGGGGCTTCAATAGGAAGGCTTGCTGGACATATTTAAGGTGAGGATGACTGACTATACTGTTTATAATTAGTGAGTTAACTTCATAAGATTACCTAAGGTAATTAAATGTGATTTTCATGGATTATTAATGATTAATAATGCCTAAATGAAAATACTATTGATATGAGTAAGTGAAGCATGATATACAAATTTAAAATAGATTGTGTATGATTATGTGATATGAAAGTGATGGCATGATGATGGGATTAACTATGAAATGTTGTGATAAAATATATTTTTACTTCATGTAAGGATTTCATGAATGGATAAAAGTGATCTTTTTTATATTGATATTAAATCATATTTGGATTGAAAAATCAATTGAGATGAATTATTTGGCTATGAATTAAGAACTTGGTTGTTCTGAGATTATCCGACTAGTATTGAAATACTAGTCGGGAGTTTAATATAAATAAATGATGGAATTAATCCTAAGAGATAGGATTGTGAATAGAGATGCCTTGAGTAGTCTTAAGAGATACTTTAAGGTCTAATTGCACGAACACTAAGGTGTTAGGGGTAGGCCTAAAGGCTACCCAAGTGAATTGATTCTAGGCATAGGATTTGTTTGAGAATTGGACTATGAAAATAAATTAGAGTCGGACTCTAGGATTGCATGGAAATGTAGTTGGGCCGAGCCATTTC